TATAATTAGTCATTGGGTTTGATTTGTTTAGCACATATTGATAACATGAAGTCCTTATTGCATAGATTTGGTTGAGTTGGAGCCGAACTCGAGAGGGAAAGCGATTGTGGAGAATTGTATTGGCCGTGGAAGTTGAGGTAAGTGTTTAGTTTAACCCTAGCTTGAGGGAATAGGAGTCGAGTCTTGTTTGCTAATTTCTAAATGATGGAGTATGATGTATAGGCATGGTGACGAGTTCCTATACATTGGGGTCTAGCATGACCGTGAGTCCTTATATGTAGGTTGTTTGGACATTGTTATGCCTTCCATGTTTATTTGATGGCTTCTATGCATGGTAAATACCTTGTGAAAGATATTGTGATTGTATAAAATTCGTGGAGCATTGGCTCGGTCTGAAATACAAATGGTGAGAGCATATGAAATGAGAAATGCCTTGGAGCTTGTCACGAGTGCTAATGAGAACTAGGATATGAAAATAAAAGAAAAAGAGAAATATCGATTTACTCTTGCATGGTTATTATCGATAATTTGTGTACCCTTGTTGGGATCTCCTTCCAATTACTTGTTCACTCCTTTGCCCTTTATTTGTGACTGTTGTTTGGGCAAGGTTGAGAGGTAGGCATTGTGGATCGGGTTGCACGCCGCAACAGTGATAATTGTGGATNTTCGCCGCTGCGATGATTTTGTATGGTCCGTCCCAATTGGTTCCCAAATTTCCCTTCGTTCGGATCTCTCGATGCTAGTGTTTTGGCTTTGAGGACATAGTCGCCAACTTTGAGCGACCTTACTTTGGCTTTCTTGTTGTAGTATCTTTCCGCTTGCTGTTTCTGGGCTATCATCCTTATGTGAGCCATGTCTCTTCATTTTTTGGACTCGTCCAGGTCTTGTAACCTGCCTTCATCGTTATCCACTCCACTGGTATGGGAATACCTCAGGCTTGGCTCTCCGATCTCGACGGGTATGACTGCGTCGGTCCCGTAGACCAGTGAATATGGTGTTTCTCCCGTGCTGGATTTGGGCGTAGTCCGGTAGGCCCATAATACTTCTGGTAATAATTCGGGCCATGACCCTTTAGCGTCTTCGAGCTTCTTTTTCAATATGTTCAATATTGTTTTGTTGGAAGACTTGGCTTGGCCGTTGGCAGCGGGATGATACGGGGTGGAGAGTATCCGTTTGATGTGCCATTTCTCGAAGAATTCTGTTGTTTTTCTTCTGATGAACTGGGGTCCATTGTCACAGCTGATTTATTTAGGGATGCCGAAGCGGCAAATGATATTTTTCCATATAAAGTCGATGACCTCTTGCTCGCGTATTTGTGCGTACGCACCTACTTCTATCCATTTAGAAAAATAGTCAGACAAAACTAGAAGAAAGCGTACCTTTCCTCGTCATGTCGGTAGAGGGCTGATTATGTCCATTCCCCACTTTATGAAGGGCCATGGCGAGGTGACTGAATGGAGGAGTTCCCCTACCTGGTGTATCATGGGGGCGTATTTTTGGCACTGCTCACATCTTCGAACATAATCTGCTGCTTCTTTCTTCATGGTAGGCCAGTAATATCCGGCGCGGATGAGTCATCGAACAAGGGCGCGGTTTCCTGTGTGGGCGCCACAATGGCCTTCGTGCACCTCCTCTAATACGGGCGGGTAAAGTGGGTCGACGTTCAGCTTGTGAGTGGTGATGTCTCTTGGGATCCCCGGCATATCTGAATGAGAGAAGGCAAATAAATCTGCATGGTTAGTTAAGAATTCGTGGTACTTACCTGGGTCAGAGAGATTGTGTCTGATGTAGGCTTTCTTCGAGCTGTCGGTACTGTCCAGTTGGACAAGGTCGAGATTCTCGACTGTCGCCTTGCAGGCTTCTACGACATCCGGGTCCCTGATAGCCTCTGTCATCGGGCTGATTTCGGTTCCCGACATGGCAGATTGCTATGCTTCCGCGCTTACTCCTTTCAGTTGTTTTGTATGTGTGCAATCTTGGGCAATTCGGTAACATTCCTGGGCGGTACGTGGCTCACCTCGGATGCTGAATATTCCCCATGGGGTGGGGAATTTGATTACTTGATAGAGGCTCGAAGGGATGGCCCGCATGGCGTGTACCCAGGGACGTCCCATGATGACGTTGTAGGCCGTTTCCTGGTTCATAATGTGGAACGTGGTTTCCAGCGTGACTCCCCCCGCCAGGACGGGCGGTGATATCTCTCCTGAGGTTCTCTCTACTGCATTGTTAAAACCCGTTACCGTTATGCAACGCGGTATTATCTTATCTTCGAGCCTCATTTGCATGAGGACTCTTGGGTGGATAATACACGCACCGCTTTCCGTCGTCTACCATGATTCTTTTCACATCGGTATCAGCAATGCGTAAAGTTATAACTAAAGCATCATAATGAGGGAAAGACAAACCGTCGGCATCAGACTTATCGAAGGTGATACCATCTTCGAAGTCGTCATACCGTTCGTGAGCGATCGTGCGTTTCAACTTGTGTGTGGTAGTGAACTTTACATGGTTGATTGCCGAGTCGTCTCCGCCGCCGACGATCATCTGTATGGTGCGTTCTGGAGAAGGTGGTTTCGGTGGTCCTTGGGATTGATCACGTCCTCTGGCGAAATTAGTCCTTCCTTTATCGCTGAGTAGCTCCTTCTGGTATCCTTGGTTCAGCATTCTGACCACCTCCTGCCGTAGGCCTATGCAATCTTCGGTTTTATGTCCTCTTTCCTGATGGAATTCGCATAGGACGTTCGACCTTCTCGCACTGGGGTTTGACTTCATTTTTTGTGGCCACTGCACCTTCGTGCCCAGCTTTTCCAGTGCGTACACTATTTTTGAAGGGGAGACACAAAAGTTATGAGCAGATAATAATGGGGGCATACCTCTTTCATTTCAAAGCGGAGGGGGGGGCATGTCGCTGTACGGCATCTAGGTGTCTTGGAGGAGGCTGGTTAGGAGTTTGACGTAAGGTTGGTGCCTTTCTCTGTTGAAGCATGGAAGTGGTTCCCATCGTCCGTCGTTGCGTCGGTCCCTCCTTACTTCCGATTGTACGGACGTTAATCTTTGGGTCGGACCGTTAAGGTCGTCTTCATCCGCTCTGACTTCGGCGCAATAGGCATTGTGGATCTCTTCCCACGTGGTGGGGGGATATTTCATGAGCCGAGTGAGCAGCTTTTTGGTTCTTTGGATCCGTCTCTGTTCAGCCCGTTTTGGAAAGCTGCCACTGCCATTCCCTCCAATACGTTCGGCAGTCCCATTCTTAACCTGTTGAATCGTGCCAGGAAGTCCCTGAGTCCCTCGCCCGCTGTCTGCCTGATGGCGAAGATGTCGTTGACCCTGGCTTCGGCTTTCTTTGCTCCTGCGTGGGCGGTGGCGAACTTGTTCGCCATCTCTTCCAACATTGATATCGATCTGGCCGGCAACTGAGAGTACCATGTGAGTGCTCCTCCCGTCAGAGTCTCCCCAAACTTTTTCAGCAATACAGATAGCACCTGTTCTTTCGATAGGTCATTACCTTTTACGGCGATCACGTAATGAATCAGGTGATCTTCTAGATCTGTGGTCCCGTCGTATATTTTTAAGTATGGTGGCATCTTGAAGGTTTTGGGGATTGGGTGAGGAGCAGCTCCCTCATTATATGGTTGCTCGACGAATCTCCCCATATCGCGTTTTGGCAGTAGTTTAGGGGCGCCAGGTATCTTGTCTACCCTCTCCTGGTGCTCCTTCATTTGATCACGAAGTGTTTTATTCTCGTTCTCCATCTCCTCCATTTTCTTAAGGATGGCTGTGAGCGCATCGTTGCTTGTATTGGAGTCAGTGTGGGTGTTACCTGTTCGCGCAACGCTGGGCTCTCCGATGGTGGTGGTGATTTCTGCCACCGATCGATCTGTGGTATTTCCCTGAGGCGGTTTCTCGAGTATGCTACTTAGAGTGTTCGTCAACCATTCCTCCAGTAGCTTTTTGACTACTGGGGGTGTTTCCTTTGCTGCAGATGTAGAAGTCCCTTTTTCATGCAAAATCGTTAGATCTTCAAGTGAGGAGGGCGAGATCTCCCCCTCCTGTATGTTACTTGGTGTTATATTCGCGGTATTTTCTCTGACTGCTTCGTTGAGTGGGCCTATGAGGTTGGTTGAGACGTCTGCTATCATCTTCAACCTTGACTCTTTGTCTGCCATTTATTAGTTTCTATGAGATCTGAAGAACAACGATGGTTGTTTCTGGTATCCTAGATGTAAACTATGGTTTCTGCTACCGAAATCTCCACAGACGGCGCCAAATTGTTTGACTCAAAAGTAAGTTAATACTTTTTAAACAAATCAATCAGTATAGATGAAGGGGTAAATCGTAGTGGAAGATAGCAAACTCTAGGATGATCTTGAATATTGGATCATATAACAACGAGATGAACAAAATTCAGAGAAGATGATAAACTTCTATTAGATAAGAGAAACAATGTTAGAGAGAAAGAGAGAGAAAGAGAACTTGTATTTCTTATAATCTCCGAGAGTTCCTCCCTTTACCAAGCTTAGATCCCCTTTATATAATAGAGGATCCTTACTTAAATACAAAAATGCAAGGGATAAAGTACATATTGTAGAGCGGCCGGCATGGTCATTGAGTCGTCCCTCTTGTTGCTCATAGGTCATTCTTCTAACCGGGCTCACGCACACTCGGTCGGTCGTGCTGTCTTAAAGAACGTAATTGGTCAAATTCGACCCTGTACGATCCTGGTTGAGCATGATACTTGTTATTGTATGGCATACCCGCCTAACACGTAAAACTTCAATTTATCGAGTTTAAAATTAAGCTAGGTTAGAGGCTAACTAACTTAATGTCTGAAGTTTGCATTTAAACTGTGTCTTGACGTTTGAACAGGTGGCTAAATTTTAAATATTTTGGTAATGTCGACTATTCTTGAAATAGCAGTGCTAAAAACGGCTACTCGTGCGCACTCCCCAATCAGACCCATACAAACGGCCCGTGATCCAACTAACGGGTACCGTAAAAATTAACGACAGTATTTGATTCTCTCTCTCTCTCTCTCATTCCTGAACCGCCCGTGTCTTCACTGTGAGCAAGCGCTAGGGTTTTGTTCTTCTTTCCTTTTTCAGCTCTCTTGAGAGATACCAGCAAATTTAGTTCCTATAGCTTTATACTCAAAAAATTCATAGGTCGGTTGTTTCAGATTTGTTCTATAGAGTCCATATTTTTTTTGGTTTGTATCTCTTGGTTATTCATTTCCGAATAACGACAAAAAATGGAGTTTGGACGAAAGAGAATAGTAGATGGTGCCTTTGCAGGAAACGGAGGAATGAAAAAATCAAGAAATGGTTAGTTTTTCTCTCTTTATATTTTCTTATCCTTTCTAATTATTTCCATCACTTTGTCAATTTTTCTAGAACTGTGTTTTTCGAGAATTTGGAGCTCAGTCCGGATGGCCTTATTTGACTGGAGCGTAGAGTTTAAGAAAGAAAGACTTTTGAAATTTGTGATTTAAAATAAGTCATAGACGTTTGTGTGGCTATAAATCATCTTATTAAGGTAAAATGAGAATTTTGTAAGTTAAATTGTTATAAATACAGAAATATATTATTCTTCGTGACAAACTAATAAGGAAAGTGTGCCACATAAAAATAGTAATGTATAATTTGTAATGAATTTAAAAATATGGATTTTCATAGTAATCTGTTAGTGTTGAAGTACATCTTTAAATTATGTTGTCTGTGAATTGTCAACTGAAGAAAGATAATCAATCTTTTGCAACAGAATCAGAATCCTTTACGAGTGGTGTAAGAAGCAAATCAAAGCCATGCATGAAGTTTTACAGGTTTCATACTTAATCCATCTAAGAAAAAAGAATTCTCCATTCAATTCCGTACATGATAATATTTGTAATGTTTAAAATGATAGTATATGTTATGGTGAGCAAGTGCCATTGTCATTGATCTGCTGGCTTCTACGTTATATGGCTAATGTTATTTTTGTGTAACTGCATAAGGTGTCAGAGAAAAAGAAAATAGAAAGATCCATGTCTAGCATGAAGCCTTAAGTAGGTTAGTTTCTTGATAAAATTGATGACTGAATTCAATTATATTATGCTATGGTTCAATTGTGAATCTGTAATAGCGATGCTTATTCTTGGTGTAAAAAACTGATATAAGTTGCATTATTAATAGGTTGAAATATAACTAGCAGCGGTACCATATAACTCTATTGTAAATAAGCTTAGAAGCTATTATTTAGCAACGAGTTCATGTTTCAAGAAAAGAATACACACAAAAAAGGAGCACGAGATTCAAAGCTGGAATCTTCCTACTCTTTTTAGTTGGGACAAAGCATCCTATCATATTGGTTTCTTCTCCCTCCGGTCCTTTTAGTTAACTTCCTCCCATATAGATGATTTACGTACCTAGCTCAACATTTATGGAAAACAATCATATCAAACGTTCAGATGAGAATTGGCATTCAGTTTAGTGAAACCTAGGACCAGACCAAAATAATAGGAAGAAGCCAAGCTGTTTATAAGGTTGCCGTTTTTGCTGATGGACTAAAATGCAACATTAGTGACCTAGTTTGATGCGAAAACACATAGCACGTGCTCCCAAACACTCACGAATGACTATTATTATTTGACCCATGCAAGAAGTTTATGAGGTGCCATTGCAGGTTGGATTTTTAAGAACAAGAGAAGAGGCATAAAAAGTGACTTGACTTAAAAGACAGATGCTGCCACAACAAGGTGAGAAAAGAAAAAAAGCATTGTCTGAGGTAATGAATTGGAAGTAACCATAGAGGAGTGGAAGAGCAGTTGATGAATTCTGTACAGAAAGTGAGATATTTCTGTGAGTTGGAAGGTATAGAACATAGGGAAACATTAGGTCATCCTGAACAATGTTGGTCATGTAAATAAGATAGTCTCCGGAGTATGAATGTCAGGTATGTATATGTGATGATATGAGGAAAGGTGTCTCTTTGTTAAAGGTGGTGTTGAAGTGAGATGTGAGAGGAGCTTAAACATTGATAAGTCTCTTCGCCAGCCTATAAGTATTCATAATCTTCAGTCTTGTGGTAAAGGGTTCACTTGGTGATTTCATTCTACATTTCAGTTTAAGGTAATATAGGAGATACTATGATGCCAAACATGATCTTCTTTCTACGCCGTCAGGCACACACACACACACACACACATATATATATATAATAATTGTGTTGACCTGCCGTGCACATTTGTTGGTTTTATATTTTTGTTTATGGAACATTCCATATTTTAACCTGTGAATACTGTTTGATTGAACCATGGTAATAAAGATAGCATTTGGACATTGCGTCCACTGGTCATTTTTATTTTCTTTTGGAAGCAAAGAATGTTGCTACTATTTCCCTTCATAAAGAAAATCTCACCCAAGGTGTACATACATATATGCCTTTTCATTTATATAATTCTAGGAAAAGTAGTAGTATCGCTTGGATATCTCTTTATGGATGAACTTCAAAGGGCTGGTCCTTTATCAGAAAAACATTGCATCCAATGGTCAACCAACATCACGAGATTCCTTTAATTTGTGTTCGTCAGTCATTAGAGCTCATTAGCAAGGTCATGCCTTTGTCTCTTGTCCTTGTTTTAGACTGTTCTTCAGTTTGCATTTAATCATCCTTTCTGTGAGTTGTTTGGGCAGTATATCAGATTTTATTTAGGAGGAACTGTGCTTTATTAAATAACATAAACTATCTTGTATGTTTGATTCACAGTGCTTCCCCTGTCATTCTTCTGTGATTTCAGTGAACTAAAACTAATATCCTTGACGGGTTTGCCTTGTGTCCAATTGTGTGATTTTGTATTAGCATATTCTCATAGTCTTTCATGTAGTGATGAAGTTTACTTGAGCTGCAGTTAGTGGTGAAATTTTTTTTGAGAAGCAGTAGTGATCAATGTTGTCAGTCAAATGCCTCATTCTTCTGATATTTTATTTTCAATCATCTTTTATCCTGTAAGTTGAACTACTGAATACTACATAATTAGAAAACAAGTTGAACTAGTAAATACTGAATTAGAATTAGTTCTGTGAACTGTTGTTCTCAACATGTCAATCACTCACTTGTGTCCACCTATGTGGAAACAATGCTCTTAACATATTTTGCATCTCAGCTCTTGATGCTCAATGTTAACGTGCCTTCTGGCTTGTGATTCTGTTCAATTCCTTTTAACCCCATCTTGTAATGTGATGTAGCACTTCTGGATGCTCATATGGTGAGGGATGCCACTTTCTTCACTATGTTCCTGGCTATAGTGCAATGAATCAAATATCAAACATGGGATCGAACCCAGCAGTTCCCGTTGGAAGGAATCGTGCCCCTTTTAGTGATGGTCCTGCTCCAACTATGAAGTCCAAGCTTTGCAGCAAGTATAACACTGCAGAAGGATGCAAGTTTGGTGATAAATGCCATTTTGCCCATAGTGAGATGGAGATTGGGAAGCTAGTGGCACCAGCTTACGATGATTTCCAAGCAGCAGGACCTCCGAGTAGGTTTCCTGGGTATCATAAACCATCCCAACCCAGTCCAGCTGCAACAAACTTTGGTGCATCTGCAACAACTACAATTAGCATAGATGGCGCTCTTGCTGGAACCATCATTGGGAGGAATGGCGTGAACTCAAAACAAATTTGTCGGCTTACTGGTGTCAAGCTCTCCATAAAGGAGCATGAAACAGATTCCAATAGAAGGAACATTGAACTCCAGGGAACGTTTGATCAGATTAATCAGGCCAGTGCTATGGTCCGGGATATCATATCAAATGTTGGTGCCCCTACCGGTGGGCCAAAAAATACTGGTCCATTTGCTCGCGGGCCTGCTGGCCCATTTAAGACAAAGATGTGTTCGAACTTCTCCAAAGGTTCATGCACTTTTGGAGAAAAATGCCATTTTGCTCATGGTGCTAGTGAGCTGCAGAAGCCTTTGGCTTGATCTTCACAGCTTTATGTATTAGCGAAGATTGTTTTACCACAGGAAATGGGATAAACATTGGAAATGTCTGAAAGAGAATTATTTCATTGCACCGTATTAGCTTATCATGGTCTGAGTTTTGTTCAGTTGTATTACTAGCCAATTCTGTCACAGCTGGTTTTGGTAGAACAGATAGAATAGTCCTAATTAAATGAGCATTTGCGCGATATTCCATAAGTGCTGCTTTTCAGACGTGGAATGACTTGGTCACCTTATAATGTATCTCTCTTATTGCAAAGAACCAATGGCCTTTGATTATCACGTTAACAAGCCTTTGTTAGGACAAACACAAGTCCTGAAAGATGACTGAATTAAATGGTAATTACCAAAACGTATGCGACGGCTCTTAATTATATCAAGTGTTGAAAGTGAGTTCCTCGTGCTTTTTCCCATTTATCCTTGAATTTTATCTCTCATGCTGGTACTTATTTCTCAAAGAAAAAGTAGTGTGTTACTAGAGATGAATAAGGAGAGACGAAACAAGGAATTTGCCGCACGTTGCGAGCTTTCACTCGATATAATATGTTAGCATATCAATCTAACTCTTCTGCAATAAACTGCAGCTATTCCGGTTGAAAGATGTCTTATTTTTTCGTACCCTTGGACACCGTTGCAGCCTTAGTTAAAAGTTTGAAACAGTATTTGGTTGACAGTATGTGTTATCCAGAAACAATCCATCGGAGAGAATTGGATTGCAGTCTGACTTTCGATTCAGTATAATTATTAAAAGATACTTGAAGCAATAGAGAGAAAAGGAAACAACTCAAGTTTAAACTAAATGGTCGATCTTACAGGACACTTGTGCTATGCCTTGATGCTCCGTAGTGGCATGTAGGTTTGGAGGCTCATACTAGTGAACCTGATGCGGAGGCTTTCCCTCTTCGTACTTGTGTAGAAGAGTATGCATTTGTTGTAAAAGCCCACACAAACTTTGCATTTGGTTGAAACTTAGAGCGAAGGATCAAGCAGATATGCAGTATGAATCATTTCCTGCTATTTTCTCTCGAAGTGCCTGTGGGCTGAAGCCTTACTCTTCCTTCTTTTGTTTTTCCCCCTTACTTAGATGTCTGCCGGAGTGTTGAGGCAAGTAGATCAGTTATATCTTATGTTGTTCATTTTGATAGTAGAAGCTTTAAGCAGAATGATGGTGAGGGCAGCCATAAGAAGGCATTTGAGATGCTTTGAGGCAAACAGGAAAAGCAGGGTATCTTGCTCTTGGTATTTTGTGATGCAAAGACACAAACAGATCAAGAACTTAAAGAATATACTTCTGAAGATTAATTTGAAGTGTGAAATCATCGTAGCAGGTGGGTGGATGACATTTAAGAGTTTGCAGAAACTTTCTCATGTAGAATTGGCTCCATCAGACAACTTACTTGGGCAATACATAAGGACACCTCAACATGGAATCCCATTGTTCAGGGAGTTGGAAAAGGCTAGTAAAGTAAGAGAAGAAAATAGTTGTTAAAAGGTGGAATGAAGCTTTGATCAAGAGTACCTCATCAAGCATCCCAACTTATTACTACATGCCTCTTCTACCCATACTGGTAAGCATGGCAAAAGGCGGAGAAGGAACTTTTTAGAGAGAATTGCACACAAGTACAATTCAAGTAACTACTTTTCATCCGCGTAGTCACTTTTTTAAGTATTCATCCATGTAACCCATAAAGAACTAATAGTATGAGATCATCGCCTCACATCTCTTTTCTGTTTTTCTCTTCCCTTATTCATTTCTTCCCCAAATTCATGTGTCTCTCTGACCAAAAAAAAAAAAAAGTCATCATGGCATTTCACTATTCCCACCTTTTCCTTTTCTCTCTCAATCTTCTTTTTGTACCCACCACCCCTTGGTATCTCTCAATCTTCTTTTTGGAGTACAATGGGTTATGTCAGGAATTGATGCTACAATGGAAATTTAAAACAGACTGAAGGAAAGAAAGCGAGGTGAAACCCCCAGAGATCATGTGGACAATATGAAGGGCGTGGAACCGGAGGGTTTTAGATGGAATAGAAAACTCTTTTGAACATGAGATTCCGATTAGCACCAACAATTGGATGCTTTCTGAAGAGAACCATATTTTTCTGAATGGTTTTTTACATGGTATATATCTTGTCTACAGTATTTTCCATCATGTCAATAAAATAATCTACTTTATCCAGAAAAAGATAAAACCATAAAAATGTCCTAGAAATTCTTCCTCAACAACTTTCACTTATGCAACTAACTCAATTTTAGCAGAAAGTGTGCCTATTCATCATTAAGGCTACAGAATTTTGTAAATTTTGACCGCTTAATGACTTAATATTGCACCTAGATGTAGAGCTACTTAAACACTTCTTCACCCTCGGTATTTCTACAAGAAACCTGATTTCTAACCATTAGAAAAAATTGAGAAAAAGGTACCAAAAATCAGGGTCTACTTCAAATCGAGAAGCATCTATAGAGTACCAGATAGTTAAGAATAGCAGAATGTAGGAATATAGAAGTACAAAGTCTGATTTCATTAAAGAAATATGCAAGAATAGAAAGACTAAGAATGAGAAGAAGTAAAACTTCAGACTCCAACCAACCAGAAAAAAATGTTCAGTACAAGAGATCAACTTTACTCTAAGTCAACCTGGGATAATATGTACGTAAATTAAACTATCATGTTACCACCATCAACTGTAACGAAATGTAGAAAAAGCAAAAAGAATAACACTGCTTTCTAATAAAAGTACCTACTATCTGCTGTACAGGCAAGATGCCACAATCTCAGCAGCTAATTCTTTTTGAGAAAAGCTTATTATCAGAATATTTCAAATCCACCATGGTAAATCTCTGAACTAGATGAAACTAAATATGTTATCACTTCCAACAAGGGAAACACCAATATCTCGACCACATTTGAGAATACTGCGTACCTAAGTCACTGAGTTAGAGTTGGCAACTTACATTCGATGAACAGGATAAAATGAAAGCGTAATACTTCTTTAGGGAAGATAACAGGGAAATTATACCTCAATCATTCAAGGGCATCAGTTCAATCTTCTTCTTCTTGTTTCACGAAGAAGTCCACTATCTAAATCTGAAAGCCTCGAGAAACCACTTCTCCTCCTGGAAAATAATGAAGATCGACTCACAGGCAGATTTCCAGCATCAGTTGTAAGGTTTTCCAACTGAAGTGCAGCATCAGAAACTTCATTTGATTGAGAGGAAGGAACAGATGACGTAGCAGAGCTTGTCTCCACAATTGAATCCAGAGTCTGACGTTCTGATCGTATGATAGCAGCATCTCTTCTCAAAGAATTATCTTCATCAGCTGCAACGTGACTAATTGGTAAAACTTGCGAATTGTTTCTTTCGCGAATGCGGTCTGTGAGTGACGCTGCAAGGTCCTCAAACATCTGCTGTGCATTTTCTAATTCCGATGAAAGAGAGGCAGCACCCTCTGATAATACCCTCGGAAACACTCGTGACCGTAGTCCCCGGCTGCCTATGGGATCAGCATTTTGCAACTCATGAGAGCTGCTCAGAGAACTTGAACTAACGTCACCAGTCGCAAGTTGCTGTGACGGGTGATCCCCCAATCCAATACTGGTCCTAATTCGCCTAAGTGCTTCTGCAACTGGGATATGAGACAAACCCCGAGTCACACGCTGCTGTCTAACACTCTCTACTCTATGTGCTTTTGGCCTTGGTGGTATTTTGAAACCACACTCCACAAGTTCTTTTGAGCAGTAACTGTGGCCATTACCATAAATTGGAGTAATATTTTCATCTATAACCTCTCCCTTGCAAACAGGACACTCTTTCGTACTCGAATCAACATAAGGCAACTGATAAAAGCATGACCAGCAATATAAATGGCCGCAACAAGTCAAGATAGGTTCTTTAGCCATATCTAAACATATATTACAATCAAAGAAACTTCCACTTCCACCATCCTTACCTACTTTTTTAACCACTAAATCCATCTCCAATGCCTTTGCTACTAAATGGGATCTATCTCTTTTGCATCCTTTTTCTTGCTTCTCATTATCCACGTTATTATTACCAATATCATCAGAAGAAGAATTACGAGTTTGGGAACGCCACCTATGGTGTTGCCAAGTTCCAGCTGCAACAGCCGCAAGCTGCAGAATTCTTTGCTCTATCCTACTATTAGCAGTTTCCAAATCATTCAACAAAGACCCTAATCCTAAAGCAGTACCAGAAGATGACTCCGTAGGTTCCTGGTTCAAATCAAGATCCATTACTACACCATTCATCAAATTATCCGCCATCGAAGAAACCCTTTTCAAGTCTGTTTCAAAAAAGATAAAGCCAAAAAAAAAAGAGTCGTAAATCGAAAGCATATGGTCTAAACAGGGGAAAGCTGAACATTCAAGTCAATCTAGAAAGAAAAGAGAGAGAAAACAAATACTAATAACCTGCATAAAAGAGATAATCCAGGTATCCGAATTAAAGGAATCAATAGCATGTACACTGATTTGGCCGTCCACCATGGGTTCTTCTGCTTCTACAAACAGCTTCCGAGGTCTTCAGAGAGAGAGAGGTCTGCTGAGGAGAGTTCTCGAGGGACAAGAAAGTTTCACGGGGAGGGGGGGAGGAGGTTGAGGGTTGAGAGGAGAAGGGAGGGAGGATAGATGGGTGATGGTTTGGCGCAAATTTTGGACCAGTAGAATTGTGACTTGTGGGAGTAGAGGAGTCAAAAAGAGAAAAGAGTACGCAGTCAAATTGCTTGTATAGGCATTGAATGGAGTGCTCAAGAAAAATCTAAAAATTGGTTGCTTTTCTCAAATTTTATCTTTTTGAGATCAGTCTTTTTTTTGAGAGAAAGATAATATTGCATTAAACATAATTAAAGTTACTACAGAGAGGGTGATGTGTGTGCATCAATACTATAGATATTTGATAGTTGTCTATTACGAGGATTACTACTATCTATTCTAACGATGTTATCAACCACATTGTCTCCATTGGAAGCAACCCTGTGTTGAGCAGCGTCATAGATGGCAAAAGTGTTTTGATCCATGTCCTCCTCTTGTTCCTGCAGCGTGCATGTTGTCTTCCTATAACGAATCGCTCCTGCCTGATCCCTTTGCAAAAAGGTGCTGACAAAATCCGGTGGCTCTTCAAAAACAGATGGTTTTTCATTAGATTCCATGTTACATCCCGCCTTGGCTAAACCATCAGCCACCTCATTCCCCTCTCTGTAGGTGTGTGCCATTATAGCACTATGCAGTTGGTCCAGGAGGTACCTGCAGTCAGCTAGTATATTAGTATAAACGATGTTGTCATTTTTTAACATTGTAATTACCTCCGATGCATCGATGTTTATTTCCAGCGGAACCAAATTGTATGTATTTGCCAATTCCAGTCCATGGAATAGGGCTTTTAGTTCTGCCTGGATGGTGGTGGCATTGTCGAAATTGCCTGCAAAACCTATAATCCACTTTCCATTTGAGTCGCGTATGATTCCCCCTATACCTGCTTTATGAGTTAATGTTGAAGCTGCTCCATCAATATTTAATTTGTAGTAGTTTGGTTTAGGGGGTATCCATTTGATAGGTTGCATTATAGGATTTTTTTGGTGCTATGTTTGTGGCTAAGTAAATAAATTCCAGTGCATAAGTAGTAATTATTTTAATTGATAGTCGTTGTTGTGTATTATTAAAATTGTGATTGTTACGACTAATCCAAATGTGCCATAATGTGTATGAAATAAAAGTTTTGCTATTTATACGGTAAGGCATGTTCTTGTGCTTTGTATTAATGAGATTCATTAACCAATCTGCTGGATGAGAGTATGTAGTTATATTGGTGATAAAGTTTGCTATCCCTAAGTCATTCCATATATGTTTTATGCTAGGACATTGTAAAAAGATATGGTTAATAGTTTCCGGATGTCTCCGACATATTTGACATTGGTCGTCTAATGTGATTCCTATATGATGTAGGTATTTTTTTGTTGGTAACCTGTTATGCATTATAAGCCAAAAGAATATTTTTATTTTGGGTGGTATTTGAATCTTCCAAATTCAATTGTAAGGGATTATGTGTTCTGGTAAGCTTAAATCCTTTTGTCGTAATTGTGAATACATTGATTGGACAATAAATTTTCCATTTTTGGATAATCTCCAATAGATAGTGTCCACTTTATTTGTGTAAATAGGCACGTTGATCCTACTGAATTTATTTTTAAAATAGTTTGTAATATGAAAAGGTATTTCTGCCTATTTCCAATTATTTTGAGCTCTGTAAGTGTCAATAGTTCTCGTAGTATGTTCTAAAGGTATAGGACCATGTAATAAGGATCTAACTGTGGTGTTTGGAGCAATCCACGCCTCCGTCCAGAAGTTGATTTTAGAATTGGTATCCACTTTCTATTGAATATCATTTTGGCATTTTTCCCAACCTAACAGAATATTGTGCCAAATATGAGAGGAATTTTGTATTATACGTTTATTTTTATATTTTTGTATAAGAGCGTTTGCCCATAGTTGATTAGGTGAATGAAATAGGTGCCATGCTAATCCTGCAGTAATGCCTTATTATTAATTCAAGCCTCTGTATACCTAGTCCTCCTAAATTTTTGGGCGTGGTAACTCTTTTCCAATTGACTAAGTGAATCTTCTTTTTTTTTTGTTGAGTAGTTCCCCATAGGAAATTGCGCATGTATTGCTCCATTTTGTCGATAATATTTCTAGGAATTGCAATGTATTGCATTATGTGGTTTGCTAAGCTAGAAAGTGTTGATTTAATGAGAGTACCTGCTAGCGATAGGAAGTTAGTTTTCCAGCTTGCAAGTCTAGCCTTGAAGTTATCTAATAAAACTAGATGATGCAAGCCCGTGCTTAGCACGGGCCCAACACTGCAATTTGCGAAGTGATTTATTATTTTTTTTTCTTAGAGAAAACAAAATTCTTGTTTTATCAAATTGATCCAGAGATGTTCCCTTAATGGTAGCAACTGTCGCTATTTTTTTCGTGCAGTTACTTTTCTGACGTAATCAAATAAATATCCATAATATCACTGCTAGATGAGATTATCTTGAGGACAAATATTTCTAATCTAATCTAAAATAGAAAAACCCTTTATGAATATAAAACAAGGTCTTTCCCATGACAACACACACATTGAAATCACAAATTAGGAAAAGTGCAATCACTTAAAAGTACATTAGTACAGCCGCTATGGAAACCTGTAAAACGCATGCACATTTGGACACTCCCGACAATATTAATATACTGAATTGACAATGGCAAAGGTATTGTTGCAGCGCATGGAAGTTGATAACTCCTTTGACTCTTCGTCTCATCAGAAGATAGTCCTGCGGAGAAAAGAAAAAAAAATAAGAAGAAGAGATGTTTGAATTGGACGACAGAGAAATCCTGTCGCGCCCCCTTTTTCCTTCGCGGAATCGGGTTTATGACATTTTGGTTGGGATAACTCTTTCCTTTTGGGAAAGGGGTTTTGCAGTTTTGAAGAGTCGCCACCTAACGATT